AGTTTGATTCTATTAATTGTTAGTTTAATTCGGTAATTGTTATTTTAATTCGTTAATTGTTCATACCCAATTATCAAGTTAATGATATGTGGTGATGAATATTAAGATTTCCAAAAATTTATAGTCCTTTATACGACTTTATCCTACGATCAAATGGACTGTCATATGAGCTGATTTCTACAAGCAAGAAAAAGAATATGCACCACCAATGATGTCTTATCACTTGAGATTCAAGGGGCTACGTAAGGAAGGAATTTTTTAAGTAGACAAGGCTTAATAAGAGAATATTTAGGCTCAAAGAGAAGGATGATCCAAGATTTGAAACATGGAAATAATTCTAGTGATGTTCAAAAAAATTAATGTGAAATTTTTTTTGCACATATATCAACAATAAGATTCAAATCTCCGATTAATTTTGAAATGCAAATCAAAAGACGATTGAAATATGTGAAAAGATTGTTGAATCATTATTAACAAGTTCTACCTAATTTCAAGAACAATCCATGAATGTCATTTTTGGAGGAAGCAACGTTTTCAATTAAAATTGTTGGCAACTTGGAGACCGAGGGCCAAGAAAATAAAGGGCGACATCAACCACTTGGAAAACATAATTTGGATCAATCTAATCTTGAAATACACTAATCTTGTTTGTACTTTAAGATTCCATGCATAGACATAAAAGTAAATATTAATATAGTCAATCCTAAAATTCTAATTTTGTTTGGACTTTAAGATTCCATGCATGGACACTAATCTTATTTGTACTTTAAGATTCTCTCCATGTTCGAGCTATAAATAAATCTTAGTTGTTAGGTTAAATTGATAATCTCTACTAGACGGAATGAAATATTAACATTCACAATTTTATGTAATACTAAATTCTTATATATAAAACAAACGAGCAATAATTTTGCTTTCAATTTGAACTTGAAATGATGAGTCCTTAGTTGGCCTAGTTGTTAGGTTAACTTGATAATCTCTACTAGACGGAATGAAATCTTAATATTTACAATTTTATGTAATACTTATTAAAATTCTTATATATATATATATTCACAAAACAAATGAGCAATAATTTTGCTTACAATTTGAAATTGAAGGGGCGAGTCCTTAGTTGGCCTTCCTTCCTTTTTTTTGTTTTTTTTTTGTCTTCTTATATATTGGGCTAACCTTGAGCATGTTTAGAAAGCTGGCCCCGATAGATTCTAGCCCCCTTTTTTAATGTTTTTTTATTAATTGGATGAATTTTTTAAAAGCTAATTTGTATTTTAAAAATTTTATATTTTTTCTACACTTCTTATCTCTTTTATTTTTAATTTATTTTTTCACTTTCATAATTTTCTCATGGAAAGAATTATAATTTTTTTTAATTATTATTTTGTTTAATTGTCTTAAGTTATATTATTCGGTTATGACGCATGGTTTGGACCGACCTCCCACAATCACTATTGAATCACATTCTAATAGTGGTGGACGTGCATCCTCGTATGACGATAGCCCACGGGGATCCCCAACTAACATCGATCGGGATCCCCCATTTTCGAGTGCTTGTACGTGGATCCTGCAGGCTCCCATAGCTCGGGACGTTTTTCCTTTTCTCCTACGGAGCCAGCACATCTAGAGCGGCTCCTAACATAGAGGCTCCCCCACCTACGGAGGTTCTCATATTGGCCATAGAGGTTCTAGCACCGGTTGCGGATGCTACCATATCTATCGACGTATCTGCACATCGCAGATAACTCTCAAGACTCCTCTAATCGGCAGCATGTTTTTGTCGTTCATGAGAGATATTAATTTTCTAAAGATGACATCATTATTTTTTTATTTTACTATATCATTTCAATAATTACTAAGCATTTTTTTTGGTGATGTTTGACGGTTTCATTTTGTCTAGTAGAGATTATTCCACGAGGATAACCATGACATTCAAGGAGTGGTTGGACATTGGTGGGTTGGCATGAAATCTATTTTGAAGCTCACTAAACAGGTCTACTTTAGTAAGTTTAAGATAACGTATTACTTATTTTTTTATTATATTTAAAATATTATTTTAACATTAAATGAACTAGTTAATATTAATTCGTACAAAAATATTTTTACCGGGATTTGGCCATCGAGTTGTTTGCTAGAGATGCTTGGGAGGCTCGGCAAGGAGACGCTACTCCGGTCGCGAGATGGTACCATATCTATCGACTTAGCTGCCACTTGCAGATAGCTCCCAAGGCTCCTTTAGTCGACGACATGTTTTTGTCATTCACGAGCGATATTATTTTTCTAAAGATGACATCATTATTTTTTTTATTTTACTATATCATTTCGGTAATTACCGAGCATTTTTTTTTTTAGATGTTCGACGGTTTCATTTTGTCCGATAGAGATTATTCCACGAGGATAACCATGACATTCAAGGAGTAGTTGGAAGTTGGTCGGTTGGCATGAAATCCGTCTTGAAGCTCATTAAACGAGTCTTACTTTAGTAAGTTTAAGATAACGTATTACTTATTTGTTTTTATTATATTTAAAATATTATTTTAACATTAAATGAACTAGTTAATATTAATTCATACATAAATATTTTTACTGGGATTCGGCCATCGAGGTGTTTGCTAGAGATGCTTGGGAGGCTCGGCAAGGAACCGCTACTCCAACTTCATCTACAACCATGGTTTATCGCCGGATGGCCTAATTTTATTAGGTAGGAGTTTTGGGACTCATGGCATCAAGATTTTCCCATACCCGATCGTAAGGATTGTTCAAAGCAAGCGTAGCAAAACCGGATATCGAAGATCGGTGGCCCCGGTGTGAGCTTTTCCAAGCATATTGGAGGGTCCATCTCTTTGGAAGAGCACGTCCGTCGCTTGGTAAATCATATCTTATACTATTAAATATTTAAGAAATTTTAATTTACATATATTATTTGTGATTCATTTCTTTCAAGCGGTAAAATTGGGACACGAGCCGACGAGTTTGAAATTGTTTAGGCCCACTTACAAGCCACAAGATGACACTTTCATCGATATGTGCATCTAGCATACAATGGTAAGTATTTTTAATTTTTATATATGTAAATATAATCTATAAAATTATTTAATATTTTAACGTTATAATTATTTTAATTATGCAGGAGTGTGTTGATGAGCTCATACGAGAAGCCATTAAGAAGTAACGAGGAGAAGGAATCCTAGAGTCACAAGTGGACAAGAACGATATATTCGTCGAGACCGTAGAAGGGAGAAGAAGAAGAGGATATATGGTATAAATTCACGGGTGTTGCATTATTTGTCCCAATTAAGGAACGTCGGCTCATCCTTCTTGTTGTCGTAGTATATATACCGGATTCTCGAGGAGGTTACGAGGAGGCGATGAAAGGGATGAAGTCTAAATAAAAAGAGTTGCACAACATTGTCACGCGAGTAGTAGAGTACCATACAAGGGCTACGGTCTTAGTATGAGTTGCTTGCCTTGATGCTACATAGGCCGATGCGAGTCATTCGAGTTGCTTGCAGATCGACCCACCGATCGAACTCTACCTTCCCTCCCACCGAGCCCCAAGAGGAGGATATGGAATTAGATGATCGGGATAATGATTAAGAGTGACGAGTTCATTTTTGGTATTTTTTTTCTTTTTTTCTTACATACAAATGAATATTTTTAATATTAATTTAAATTTAATTTATAATATTTAAATTTTAATAAAAGATTAAATTTTTATAGTACGTTATTTATTCTAATTTTTAGTTACTACCGAGAATATCACAAATTAAAAAAATATTATCAATTTAAAATAATAATAATAAACTTAGAGACGGATTAGCATTGGAATTTTTTTTTACATTTAGTGATGAATTGTGACGGAATAGTGACAACAAAATTAGTCGCAGATTTAGCAATGGAATAGCGATGTATTTTTTGATGGGAAGATGGTCAATTAGTGATGGAATATAGAGATTTAGCAACAAAAAAATCGTCATTAATTTAGTGATGGATACTGTTCATCCGTCGCTAAGGTAGGCAATAAGTGTTTTAATGACGAATTTTTTTCGATCGAAAATCCATCGCTAAACGCTATTAATGACGGATTTGCACTTAATAGCGATGGATTGTTCCAATACTAAATGGCGATTTTCTTGTAGTGCAATAACAATAAGAAAACTACCGTTAGTGTGTGTATATATATATATCCTTTTACATACCGACATATAAATACAACACTAAAGAAAAATAAAAGTGGAAGCATCCATTGAAAAATGAAACAAAAATAACCATCAATTTCCATCTAACATTTTATTTTCATATTTTAATTCCAAGTATTGGTATAGTAGTTAAAAGTATTTATTCACTTTTTTTATTTTATAGGTTAAAATGTTTAGCTCGGTATTTAGAAAATTTTTATTAAATTTTTTTGAATATATAAGTCGATGTAAATAGTATACTCTCGAGATTATTTAGAAGAGATTTAATCTTGATTGATGTATAAATTAGTTCGAAAATATTCTTATCATATAACGAAAAAAAATAATGAAAAGTGGTTAGGCATTTTGTAAGTATTCTTTTCTCAAGAAGATAGACATATTTTCGAAATAATTTCTACAATATTTTAAATGACAAATGCATTAAGAACTAGGAAATACTATTTAAGATGTCGATATATATGTTGAAATTAAATTGGCAGGATGGCACTACATATTCGATGAACTAAATCTGAACCATGATTAAATGTCTTAAAGTAAAAAAATCCAGTCAAGTCATGGCCTAGAAAATGGAACCATGTATCTAATCTTTGGCATTGGAATTGAATAACCCCCATAACCCAATTAATGATCGGAGGTCAACAAAAATCAATGAAATTCTGAACCCAATTTATGACCATGCAGCACATCAAATGCACATCTCTTCTTATTTTTTTATTTTTATTTTTATATTTTTTGGCGTAAGAACTCTTCTTGTCCTTAAATTTGAACACTTGATCACTTGCGTAGGGTATACGTGGAAAATTGAACATGGATATCTTGCTCCTCATCCTCTTCTCCCTCTCCATCTTTGCCTTCCTCAAATCCCTCTCTAGCCTTTTCTTCTCTTACACCAACGAACCCAAAACCCAAAACCAACTCCCTCCCGGGCCTCCCACTTTCCCTATCATAGGCAATGTCTTTTGGCTCCACAAATCCTTTTCAGAGTTCGAGTCCTACATCCGCTCTCTCCATGCAAAGTTTGGCCCAATCATCACCATTCACTTTGGGTCTCGTCCAGCTATCTTTGTGGCTGATCCCTCCCTCGCTTACAAAGCCTTGATCCAGAACGGGGCTGCTTTTGCTGATCGCCCGACTGCTATCGCCACAGGCAGAATACTGGATAAAAATCAGAATACCGTTAGTTCTTCATTTTACGGTCCAACTTGGCGCCTCCTCCGAGGAAATCTTGCTGCAGGAATCCTCCATCCTTCGAGGGTAAAATCATATGCTCATGCTCGTAAATGGGTGTTGCAAATCTTGCAGAATCGATTGGAGTTATTGTCTAGATCGGGAGAACCTATTCAAGTCTTGGAACATCTACAGTTTGCCATGTATTTCCTGCTATCGCTCATGTGTTTTTCTGACAAGCTAGAGCAAAAACAGATAAAAGAAATCGAAGAAATTGAGCATCGAGCGACGTTGCATCTGAGTAAAATCAATATATTTCATTTTTGGAAAACATTCAGCAAGATAGTGCTTCGTAAACGTCGGGCAGGGTCCTTGAAGCTACGTAAAGACCAAGAAGATATATTGATTCCTCTGATAAGAGCGAGAAAAAAGTTGAAGGAAGAGAGAAGCACTAAATCAAATCTGGATGATCAGGACTATGTATTGTCTTATGTTGATACACTGTTGGATCTTCAATTTCCTGTCAATCATGACAAAAGAAAGCTCAACGAGCATGATATTCTCAGTTTTTGCAACGAGTTCCTCAACGCAGGCTCAGAAACTACAACCACAGCCTTGCAATGGATCCTGGCAAATTTGGTCAAGTACCCAGAAATTCAAGAGAAGCTATTCATGGAGATCAAAGGGGTTGTAAGAGATGGTGATCGAGTAGTAAAAGAAGAAGATTTGCAAAAGATGACGTATCTAAAAGCAATAATTTTAGAAGGGTTAAGAAGGCACCCACCCTCACATGTTGTCCTGCCACATGCAGTGACAGAAGATACAATGTTGAATAAATACTTGGTACCCAAAAACGGGAGTATAAATTTTATGGTAGCTGATATAGGGTGGGATCCGAAGGTGTGGGAGGATCCCATGGGATTCAAGCCTGAAAGGTTTCTGAATAGCAGTGGAGGGATAGCTTTTGATATAACAGGAAGTAGAGAGATTAAGATGATGCCATTTGGAGTGGGAAGGAGGATGTGCCCTGGTTATGGCTTAGCTATGCTCCATTTGGAGTATTTCGTAGCTAATTTGATATGGAGTTTTGAGTGGAAGGCAGGGGATGGAGATGGTGTTGATTTATCTGAAAAGCAGGAGTTTACCATGGTTATGAAGAATCCATTGCAAGTTCAAATATCTCCTAGGTGGAAGGAAAAATAGGAATTGCATGCTCTGAGGTTGAAAATAATGGATTGATTAACTAGTGAGGTGGCATTATCTATTGTTGTATCGAATAAAATTTCATTGTGTTGCCATTTTTTTCTCCCTTTCTTTTGTTACAAATGATTTACCTAATTAGACTTTTTAGATCGATTTGAGGTGCCAATTGAGCTATAAGTTCAATGAAAAGTGTATTGCCAGTTTAGATTCCTCTTGTATGCATGTTTTGAATCCTTAATTGCTTGTAGGTTTAATAATATTTTATTATTTTTTAATGGAGTTAATTTATTGAAGGATTGTTGATATCATGGATAGTTTTTAGTTCCGTTTAACTAAGACTTGGAATGTATTTGGTAAGATTTTTCCACCAAAAACATACATTAATGAAATCTTAATAGATATATTTTTTTAATGTACGAAGGTTAATATGAAAGATATATTTTTAAAATTGTTTAAAGAGAAATTTAATTTCACACAAATTAGCCTAAAAATATCTTTATTATCGAAAAACCTCAAATTAGTCTCTAAACTATTCACTAATTCTCTATTGAGATCCTTGAACTAAAACATATTTCTCAATTGAGATCCCTAGTCTATAAGTTACTCAATTGAGGTCTCTTATCAATATCTATTGATGTAATTTTTATAAAATCAATTAGTATATATGATATATGGATCTAAAATATAAAATCAATTGTGTTTAAAAGACTATCATATTCAATAAAATAATTCATTTTTTTTAAAGAAATTTTGATTTTATTCAATAAAAAAAATATGTAGAATTTAAACAGGGGATCCAATTGAAGAATTCTAACTAAATAAGGGATGTAATTGAGAAAAATGATTGTCTGTCAACTACATGAAGAATCAATAAATAGATGGGGGACTAATTTGCGGCCCTAAAATCAACCGGTGCCCTTAACATCATTTGGGTATTTAAAAATTAGAAATAGATACTGAAGGGTGTGAAAAAGTAAATTATACACATGTCACAGGTGCTAATGTTTTATGCTTTATTTCAAAATCCTTTGTATGGGAAATTGACTTACGATGATATATTAACTATTTGGCACAATTATTGTATTAAGTTACAATATTACGGAGTGCACTGCTATTTTTTTTTAATACAAGTTAATTACTTTTTTTTTTAAATTAACGGAATTATGACTTTGCATTAAAGAGATATGTCCACATGCATTGGTTTACCAAAATTCCTTTTATTGCAGTCCCACACATAATTTTCTTAATTATATGTTAAAGTAATTAATTTGTTGTTTTTTAATCATTTTCATACCAATAGCACTTGTAAAAACAATTTTTACCGAACACTTTGTTAAATAATAATAATAATAATAATAAAAATCAAAATCAAAATCTATCATGACCAAATACATTTTTCACGGCAACAACAATCTTACCAAACCAAGCCAATAACCCCCCCGGTGTTTAAAACCTATATATTCATATTTTTAAATATAAATATTTAAATGGATTAACGATTCAGCATCTCTCTCATTTCTTTGTCTTAATCATATTTCTTTATTAATTTTTTCATTAATTACATCCTTCTATTTTAATAGTTGTCTTAATTTCATCCTTCCATTAAAATTTTCAAATAATAGCATTAATTTCCAATGACAGACGCACATGAGTTATCATAATTTTTTTTACAAAAAACAAAAAATAAAAAACCCCAAAATATCTTTTTTTCTTTGCTTTTTGCTTTTGTTCCTATGCTATGAAAATATTTTCATAAAAATTTTTATTGGGTTTTGATTTGAAATAAATTTCTAAAAAAAAAAAAAATTGTTCCTTCCTATACATAAAAAAATTTTCTTTTTTGATTTGGATTTGAGAGGAAGCCAAAAATATTGAGGGATGAAATTAATTATTTATTTCTTTATATAAATGTAGAGAAAAAGATAAGCATTTTGTAATTTTCTTTGAAAATTTATTTTTTTCTAAAAATCCCACGTATTAACATCCCGTGCATCGAATATTAGAAATTGATGTTCTTATTTGAAAATTTGGACGAGAGGGATGAAATTAAGATGCAAATAAAAATAGAGAGATGAAATTAATGAAAAAATAATATGAGATCAGATTAAAACAAACGAAATAATAGAGAGACATAGTGGACAATTAAACCATATTTAAATGGATTGCATATATAAGATAGAGATATTAAAAGAAGTGAGATATTACATGGAAAAGTTAAAGGTAAGGTACTTGTTTGAATAAAGTAAAAAAATACATGTACTAAATTTGCATTTATGCTCCGTTCAATTTTCAAATCTGCCACACGACTAGTCGTTTTAACATATTAAACCTCACAGCATCACCTCCTCAAAAACCCCTTTTCGCCAACACCCTAAAACCCTACAGCTATCCATCACCACCGCAATCACCACCATCCATGGCGCAGAGACGGTGGCTTCAAACCCTAACTCGCCATACCCTACCTCTCCTCTCATCAAATTCCACAACGTCTCTCAAACCTCTACCTCATCTTCGAGCCTCCATTTCTTTTAAATCCTTCCTCTCTCCCAAACCCCTTCAACAATTTCAATACACTGATCCCACCTTGTTCCACACTCGTAATTTCTCTTCAATTTCTCGCGACGATAGCGAAACTGAAGAAGACGGCGATGACGATGAAGATGAAGAAGATTACTATAGTGATAACAATGAGGAGGAGGATACGATGGTGTCGGGTATGAAAAGGGAATATTCAGCGGAAGAGAAAGAAGCGGAGGCTGCCGCAATTGGGTATAAAGTGATTGGACCGCTCTTGCCATCTGACCGGGTTTTTAAACCTAATGAGCCGGTTTTCGCTGTTGTTCAGGTTTATTTCATTTCATTTTACTCGGTTTCTTTTTTCCTTGACACTTTTTTGAAGTCTTTTATTTTTGTGTGTGTAGGTTGGGTCTCATCAATTTAAGGTGAGTAATGGGGATTGTATTTACGTGGAGAAATTGAAGTTTTGTGAAGTAAATGATAAGGTAAAGTTGCCCATTTTGCCTGAAAGTTGAAGGCAAATTGTTTTCCATTCATACTAAATTCTTTCTGCGAACTGAATGAATGATGCTTTTATGATTTTGTCCATTGCAGTTGATTTTGAACAAGGTTCTTATGTTAGGATCAAGTACGCAAACAATAATTGGTAGGCCTACATTGCCAGATGCAGCGGTTCATGCAGTTGTTGAGGAGCATGTAAGTGTTCCTCCCTTTTTTAACACTTTCATAAACACAAAAATCTCAATGCCTTTGTGAAAGTGGAAGACATCAGACGATTTGTGTCCACACAAAGATACAATTTTGCCTATTACTTTTGTTTCCTGAAAAGTATTTCCTGTGAAAGTTATTCCTGGATACCAATAAGTTTTAATCTGAAAACTTGTGTTCCCGTATGGCTAAATAAAGTGATACTAAATTTCTTATAGCTTCTTTCATAAAGGAGAGAGAGAATCCTATAGCTTAATGGGAATATTTTTTTCCGAACTTGCACAGACCAAATATAATTAAGGCACATTATATGCTCTCATTTTGTGTTTATGGATATGGTTTTCACAATCGTGATTTGTTTTATTGCTGTCCATGCATATGAAATTTACTCACCATGTTTTGTTCCTTCCCCCTCAGGCATTAGATGCAAAGGTAATTATCTTTAAGAAAAAGAGAAGGAAGAATTACCGTCGAACCAAAGGACATCGCCAGGTATGTCAAAGATCATTTTCTGAATGGTTCTAGCTTTCTCTCTCCAATTATTTTGGTATTCATTTTTCTTCACCCATGTTTTTTCTGTTTTTCAGGAACTGACTAAGTTGAGAATAGCTGATATTCAAGGGATTGCGAAACCAGAGCCAAAAGTTGATCCAAAGCTAAAAAAGGCACCTGTTAAGAAGGAAGAAAAGGTTGCGGTTGCTGCTTAAGAGGTATTTTTCCTTTGATTAGTCCACAATAATGGCTCTCTGTTATGTGGAGGTGACTTTCAATGCTACTCTAACCAGCATGATCTCCTTCCTGGGTCATCCAGTGCATATTTTGGATGCCATTTGAGGAAGAAAATCCTATCATCCTACCACATACGTGCTGAGGAGTTGGTTCACTGGAAAGAAGTTTTTTTTTCCATGGGAAAATTTTGTTTTGTAGTTCTTGTTATTTTATTTGTATTTACTATTGTAGCCAAGACAATTCGCTAGCAAACTCTTGTTCTTAATAGAGTTATTTCCAAGGATTAAATCAATTATTCCTTGTTGCAGTGTATTGGATTTATTATTTTTTGAAAACCTGCTCCTGCTTTGTTATTTGTTTAAAATGCCATTCCTGTTCAGGTGATGCACAGTATAATAATAGCTGCTAGTGTGAGCTTATTCTTTCGATTTCTAGTTGATTCTGATGGGACAGACTTATTAATTACTTGCCGTGCCTGTTTCTATCACTAGTTTTGCCATAAGACTTAACATTTCTCGGAGACAGTTGGCTGGGCGCTATGCAATGACAAAGTCTCTGCCTTTCAGAAGGGCGTCATGCACTTGGGTACTACTTTTCTCGTGCAACTTTTTTGCTTGAATTGCAATTTGTCAAACCCACACGATGATATAAAAAACATCAACTTCCTGTTTGTAGTTTCGGATGAAAAATTAGTTGATATTCTAGGGTGGTTGTGTGTCCACAGGTGAATGTGTGTTTTGTAATTCAAAACAGTAATACTGTTGAGGGTTGTAGAATTAAGGTAAAAGAAGGGCAGCAGCTGCAATGAAGCGTACAGAAGGGTTGATAGAGTTTTGTCCTGCTACACATAGTTGAAAGTGTTTGGAACTTTCTAGGGTTGTCTTTCATGCCCGTTTCAGACAATTTTGGAACTTTGAAAGTTTGTTTTTCGACTGCCATTGTGGGAAAGGGTGTGTATGGACATAATGAAAGAACAAAGGAGTTGAACGAAAAGAAAATATTTTGTCCATTTGTTGGGACGATGTCGTAGAGATGAAGAAATGAATCATTTCTTTTACTTCAACAAAACTTAGCAAGTGTACTTCAGCTTTAGTTTTATCTATTTTCCCATTTCAATCCGTTTACTTCGCAGACATTGGTTCTCGACGTCTGGAACTGGAAGGGAGGCCTAATTTTTACCCCCATTCATTTCTTCCGAAGTCAGCAGATAAACCAAGCTCCTTCCTTTCTAAATCTTGTCTTCCTTTCTTCTGTCTGTTCTCTAGAATGAACATGACTAAACCAGACAAATAAGACTCAAACTTTATGCGATCTATGGTTAGCTTTAATTTGTACCACTCACCTGTGATCAGATTGAGTTTACTGTTCTTTCAGGGTCTGAATTGTAACAGTACTGCCTGTTATGAATGCTTGCATGTGTGCAAATTCACTTCTTGGATTGGCGACCTTCGTGGAGCCAAAATTAAAAAGCAATATATATATATACACACACATTCCCTGCAAGAGTCGATGTGTTGCACATGTTTTTGCTACTTGGAACAGTCGAAAACATAGGGATAGAGACAACGACATTGCATTAAATGTCATCATTTCCTACAACTAACAGTCGTATCGATAATTATGGATGTGAAAGGAATTTTGCGAAGGGCTTCATGCGTCCCTCTGTTTTTTTTTTCCCCCTCTTTTATTTAATTGATTCCACCTGCAAAGTGAGTCCCTTCCCGGCTCTCTTCAGTTGCATGCTTATCGCTTTGGTTGACGCAAGTTTAGATTAGGATGAAACTCTTCACTTTTGGTCGTTATATTTACTTGGTCCTTTTCTCCTTTTTATTTATGTTCTTTTTGGAACTACCCCATTTATGATATTCCATAGGCTTTCTAGTTTCTAGTACTTCAGTTTCTTAACTGGTTATGGTCCCACTGATCCTCAAATTTCAAGCCACGCTTTTGCTTTGCATGCCAGTATATTTAGCCTCAGAACCCATTAGCAAAATTATGCCATGCATGAGATGACACCTCTCTCTCTCTCTCTCTCTCTCTCTCTCTATCGTTGAGCAGGCCTAATGAATTAGCGGTGGGTGACCACCAGGCTACCTTTATAGATTTTCTGTTTCCTTTTATATTCTAAATTGAAGTCTGAATCTTACTATATGTTTTATGGGTGGTTGAAGGGCCGTTGTTGTTTATTATATATGAATGAATTTCTCATTCCATGAAACAAAGTGCCTCTAAGTGGACGCACTTTTTTGTCACCATTTAGTCATCTTTCAACTACAAACCATAGATAAAGAATTTTCTGAAGCACTTTGTTTCTCCCCACTTTCCTTTTAAATATGGTCATGCTCATGGAATTGGTTGACACCGTACGTAGTTTCTCCACTTTGTTACTCCTTAACTCCAGTTATTGTCAGCTTTAATATTGGTACATATTTAGATGGATTGGAATCCAGATGCATACTGGTTGAGTTTTAAGCCACGTCTAACTCAACTCCAACTAAACCTCAGTCTCAAACCAGTTGAGGTCGACTGTATAAATTGAGATCTCTTGCACTCAGCAATATTATGAACTAAATTTTCTTTAGTTGCTGGGACTACTGTTTCAATCACAAGGATTGTTTGTAGTTCAAAAATTCTGATTGGTAGAGTGTCTTTGGTACATTGGATAAGATGGAAAAAATGAAATTGAACCAGACTGGATTAGATAGTGTGTGCTTGGTGCATTGGAGAAGACAGAAAAAATAAAATGAAATTGGACTAGACACCAAGACAAGTCCAATGTTTGGCACGTTTAGGGAGGATAAGGATGAATCAAGTTTTTGCAAGAGTTCATATTGGTTTCTGAAAATTTTCAAGAATTCATTTTAGTACTTATATTTTAGTTTCATGATATTGTAGTTCTTGATGGATTTTTTTGGTCCTCCAATTATTCATTATATGCAATTTAGTTCCTAGGTTAGATTTTCTTACAATTAAACCCCTAAATGTAATTAGAGTAGTAAATGGATCGAATCTTGATCCGAATTCAATGTAATTAAATGAATGTGGCAAACAATTTTCTTGATCCGAGTCCGATTATGATTCGAATCTCGTAACTTCGTTTATTAAATCAATCAAATCCGAATCTATTTTGATCCGATTCAATAATAATTCAACTCGAAATTAAAAATAATATTTTTATAGTAAATATAATATTTTAAAAATATAAAAAATATACAAATATGAAACTAAGTAGAAATTAAAAGTTTATTTATTATAAAGTTCAAATAACGTATATCATTCTATAGTGAATTTTAAAAAAATCACATATAATTTTTTTTCATTTTCTTAATTTAATTTTGTGGAAAAAAATTATAAATTGACTTATTGCTTGAAAAGTTTTTTATGATGCAACGAACTATTTTTTCAGGAACTCCTTTTCCAACCGCAAATGTTTTCTTTCCCGACATATGTGGCATTCACTTATGTTTGAGTGAATGGGAAAATGGTGAGCCTAAATTTATTTGTTTAATAGCTAAACCAATAAAAGAAAAGTTCATCAACTATTGGGAGGAATGTAGCTTGATATTGGTTATTACTTTTGATCTTGATCCAAGATTTAAACTAGATTCAATGGAGTATTATTATGAGAAAATTCATAGGGTTGGAGCTTACAAATATGTTCATAGATTTCGACATGCTATTTTTTATCATTTTACCAAATAAAAAAGTAATTCTTTTTCATTGGAATCTTAAAAGATATGCTAAATAACAACAACATTTCGGTGATTTTTTGGAGATGATCAATAGATCGACCGAGTGGCTTTGATCAATGGTATATACAAGTTCAATCCTCTAATCTTTATGCTGCGAAGAACTCATAACTATAATAATACTTGGAGGAGCCGAGTATGTCCTAGAACAAACAAGTTTAATATTTTTTTTGTAATGGTGAAAAACCAATTGTGATACATTTCCCATCCTTGTAAAAATTGCTCGTGATGTTCTAGTTATTCCAACAACAATTACTGCTTTCGAAGATGCATTCGGTATGACGAGCAACGTTTTTTTATGATTTTCATGTATTTTTGCTTCTAGAGATTATGGAGGCAATAACTACTATAAATGATTGGCTTTCAAATCGAAACGAGAAAACTCTATAGTATTTCATTTACTTAGCTCATTAAATTTTTGCTTTTTATGCATTAACTAATAATTAAAAATACACAATAATATTAATAGATTTTCTTTTCTTTCTTTGTAGCATTATCGTTTTGGAATTCGAATTAACAAATATTTATTTTTTCTATCAAGTGGGAAAAAAATAAAAAATATTTATTATTTGTTTCTTTTAGTTTTATTGTACTTCATGTTTAGCTCAAGATAAATTTTTATTAAAATTATTCGATTTTGTGCTTTTGATTGTGTGGCATTTTGATTTTTTTAACAAAATTGATTGATGAAATATTATCTTAATATATTTTATTATATATGTAGTGATTGAAATATATTTTATATTCAAGAAATATATTAAATGTAATAAGCATAAATTTTTAACTAAAACCAAATAATAAATCCAATTAAACTTCGAAAACGATCCGAATTCGTTAGGATAACTTTCTATTGTGTGAATTCATATTTTCATCACTCGATTTTCAATTTATAAGATTCGATTTGATTCATTTTATTAAACAAATCATATTCGGATATACTATAATCCGATCCGAATCTAATATCCATTGACAACCCTACATGTAGTTATTCATTTTAATGAAAGGGTATTGCTAAATTCACCACAATAATTGTTATTCCCATCATTTATTTTCTAGTCATTTACCGACATATTCTCCTTTAATATTTCTTAAATAGTAGTTTTATATTTTTTATATTAAATATCCAAAATACCCATCAACATTGACACATGACAAAATAAACAAAGAAAGTTGGGCTCACCTCTTCTTCTCTTCGACTTCTTTCTCTATCTCTCGTCTCTAATGGGAAACGATTTTGGTAAACCGACGGTCTATTTTACGAGAGTTGAAGAGGCTCGTCGAAGAAAGGACATATCGGAACTAATATCCGACCCATTAGATGAAGGTCCGGGTCACTCCGATTGTTATGTGAGACCTAACTCGACCCGATTATACTCCTCCAAATTCCACTCGAAGAAACAACCACCTTCCGTACCATATCCGGTGCCTTCGCCGGTGCCAACACGTCCATGCCATTCTCCACAACCTTCGTCGATCCTTATGTTTATAACACCTTCGATCGAGTTGCTACTTTTGAGAGCTCAACTTCTTTTGCTTCGATTCCTCCGCAATCAATCCCTAGAAGTCTATTTGGGTCCATCAATTCCGCCTCTTAACGGGAAAATGATAGCTTTTATGAGTTTCAAAGAAGCTTTTCTCATGGTGGTTTTTCTTTTAGATCTAGATCGGAAAAAAAGGTCATTGATTCAAGTCTCACAAAGAGCAAAATTCATCAAATATTAAATTGAATCCTTCTAATCATGCTCGACTTCAAATCCTTCTACTACTTTTGGTATTTTGATGAAAAAACGTCAAAACAATGTGAGCCTAATTTTCTTTGTTTATTTTGTCATGTGTCAATGTTGATGGATATTTAATGTAAAACATATAAAACTATTATTTAAGAAACATTAAAGGAGTGGTATGCCAGTAAATGGATAGAAAATAAATGGTAGGAATAACAATTATTGTGATGAATTTAGCAATACCCTTAATAAAATATAGGTAAACTTAGTCAAACTTTAGTTAACTAAATTACAAAATTAATAAGGAACAAAAATTTTGCCTTGATAATTTTGGACATGATATTGATTAATTATTATTCAATGTACACCAAACATGATATAATTTATCAAACTTATCATATCTTGCTCAATGTGTACATCAAACTTATAAAACATTGTTCGATAAGCATATCAAATACTGTATAGTTTGTTTTGTGCTACTTAATTTAGTCTTATATGTAGTATACCAAACATATCCTTATTAGCTCCTAGCTAATATACTAAACACATGCTTAGTGGTTTATAAATTGAAATCGGAAGAGTTCCTTTATGTTATTGTTTTGCTAATCATTGGCCAATAGATTTGGTTGTATTTTTGCTTTTTATGCATTAAACAAAGATAGTGGTTAAGAGTGCATGGATTTCTTCCTTCAATTCCTTTCTCTTATTGTTTCTTTGAAATAGATAATCTGTCAAATAATGGATCCACTTGCCTGCTTAGGTCTGCAATACATTCAACATAAATATATTTGGCTATGTGCATGCTCACGCACTACCTTTTTTTCTCTTTTGTCAAAATTGATTTTTCTTGGTTTCTTAATTTTATGTTTGGATTATCACACAATAGAAAGTTACCCTTTTGATTTCTTCATGGAGCAGATTCCATTCATCTGAATTTGGAATATCCTTTTCGATTCCTAATGGTAAGCTGATGATGCAAATGATCATTGATGACCTTATGATCTCTAGTCTTAGCGCCCAGCATTGAAAATAAATTACTAGTACAGTCAGAAAAACAAAATCTTGGCCATTCCATTCTATAAGTGCAACAATTAAAAAAAAAAAAAAACTATGCTTTCCTGGGTATTAGATGACAAATAATAGAGATAATGGCTAAATTTGTTGTTATACAATAGGATGTTTCTCTAAATAATTATATCTTTTATTTTATTAATTATCTAAATTATGAATAAGAGCATACGGATGAAACTTCTTTTGGTTTTCGTGGTGTCATCTAGAATACCACTTCCACTGTGGTTGTCAAAATTATTGTGGTTTTTTTTTTTTAATTATATTATGTTGGTCTTAATTAAGAAGACTTTGAAAAAAATAATAATAATAATAATACACAAAGTTTAAAAGAAACTTTCATTCATCAACGAAAAACATGTTTATAGATTGAGATTCTTTCTCCAAATATGATATTCACATAGGAATTCAGTTTTTAATGATCGTAACATGAGTTGCAGCAACAATATAGTATCGGGAAACAAATCTATTGGCCTACAAATCTATCAATCTATTTTGATTACTACCCGCCAACTATTATCTAATAAGTTTTTTTTTAGTGTTTTATGATCTTTGGTAATGTTTTATGTTTTGTTGTGACTTCCTATTCTTGATATGTGCTACAATCCTTCATATTTTGTTATTACTTTAATCATGTTCTATTTTTTCTTGTAACTATAAATTTTTCTCTTAATAATTAGAAAGCATAACCCATAACCCATGTAGTTATCTTGTTATATCTTACTCCTCTATTTGTTAAAAAATTCAAATGATGGATATAACCGGATGTAATACTACTTTGTTACGGAGCGAGTACTTGTGTTCGGAGAGATGCATGAGTCTCTACGGAGATTACATTAAAAATAAACATCATTTTAAAAGACTAAACTAATTGGTTATAAATTCATCTTTCATATATATATTTATCTCTTCTTCTTCTTCTTTTCATTCTTTTTCACTTTATATATTTAACATTCACCCGTGAATCCAACAAAACTAATATTGGCTACATATGCAAATGTATTTTTTTTTCCTCTAAAAAATCCATGTAATATATATAGAGATTGAGGATCCTAAATTGAGATAACAGGTTGACTTGAACATGCGAAGACTACAGTTGATACAATATGTTAGCACTTTTATGTGCTGCTAGCAATTTATATTGACGAAGAGCCTATGCATAGAACATTTATGTCCATACTTGATGACCACATATATGAATAGGGACAACGTGATCCTTCCACTATATATGGATTTACTGTTGTTAATTATCTTGAGAACATATATGAAAAAGACTGGATTTTTAGTCCACATTCATGGGTTCAGCAGCTCTAAGAGCATCTTTTATTTCCTGTGAAAGTAGGGCTGATTAATTTAATTCCATGCATCTTTACAAAGATGGATCTTGACATAATAACTGGCTACTGCTTAAATCATTTTTCTGCCTCTAATTAAGGTTGTCTAAAGCACAACGACGACAACTATTTTATGTCATTTTTATTATCATTTAAATTATGTTGTTTGTTTTGCAGTTCTGATGCACAACTCCACTATGCTCAATAAATCAAGTACTTAATTTTCAAGGAAGAAAGATTTCACTTCCTTCTATTTTTATATTTTTTTAACTTTATGATGTATTATGAAGACATAATAAAGTCCTTGGCTCCCTAATTAGCAATCAGATTAACCAATTACATAGGTTTTAAATTTTACGTACTAGTAAATTGTGGAGCTGGAGCCGGGTCTCGGTGATGTAGGATTTTGGTTCTGCAAAAGTTGTGAACAACTTACGTGCAATCCAAGCACAGTTGCATGGCACTTGAGAAATCTTTCTCCAAATTCTGATTGCTTTTGCTAAAAAAGTTGGCTTACTTCTTTCGCTGACACATAACAACCCAACCCAACCTTCTGTAAAACATGGACCCTTCATAATGACAGAAGGTGGTCAGGAGTCAAATCCATGTTCAAGACAAAGTGCAACCAGTGGACTTATAGCCCACCAGAAAGAGAAAAAAGTGGTGTAAAGAATATGAAAAATATGGTCGTTCATCGAGTGAAAAGACAGTTAGGAAATAGGCATTTTCAGTCCCATATTTAAGAAATATATTTATGCTAGATAGTGAATTAGTGAAGTTAGACTAAATCATTCTTGGAAGATTACAGGTAGAAAAAAGAATAAAGTTATTGCCTCCTTGCTTTAATTTGCCGAATATGCTAACCTAGATAAATTGAGTGGATCCTCCTATATTGTACTGTAATGGTGAAGGATGATGTAGCTTATATTTTAGTATCCATTGCTATTGTTTGTTTATACATGCATGGGAATGGGAATGGAATGAAGAACATTATAAACCATTCACTGTTTCAAATTGTAGTGTTTCTTTTCATATACAATATAGTAATATGTATAATAAAGTGTGTTAATTAGGTCAGAACCTAAATAAAGAATGTTCGTTGGGCCAAAGTAGGAATATCAGAATAAACACTCAAATCAAACAGTCTTGATCAAACTTGATTTGTGCTTTGATCATAAAAAAAAGTGAAATCTTAAGGATTAATTAGGCATCTGATCGTCAAAAAAAAGGTCAGATGTTTGCTTTAAACGAGTATATTCTTTATGCTGTTTCAAAAATTCTTCTTTTTTTTTAATTAGATTACATTCTGACTAGAAATAGCGAACATGTGGAAACCATCACTGAGTGGTTTTGTATTTTAAAAATTCCACATTCTAATGATATGCAGCTACGACCAGCTGTTGTCTTCTGTTATTGCAGAGGTCATAGTTTCTGCTGCCATGTGCTTGGTTTCGGACAAAACAGGCTGCTCAAACTTGACCTACGCCGCCTCCCAAACCCAAGTTTAAAGGTGTAAAAAAAGAATTCTTTTTCTTGTATTTTTGTTTTGTTTTGTTTGAATATACAATACAATAAGGCACAATTACGAAGTCAGCATAAATGGGAGAAACTGGAGCGTGATGGGAGACTACAAAGAAAGGACTCCATTGTTGACATTAAAAAACAAAAAAGAACAAAAGAAAAGAAAAAGAAAATGCAGAGGGATATCTCAATTTAGCCATTACTCCATCATCATTTGAATCCCCATCATTTTAATTTTATCAATTTTGATTCAAACGTGATCAATATTAGACAATATCATCCTTTTAATCATTCAATTTTACTGGTTGATTAGTGACTTGAGTCACTAACTGTTTTAGTAAACTTTTTGAGTAGCAAGTACGGTCTTTGTGTCTGATACTGTTGGGATATTCTGTGCGTGTCGACTTAACGGTCTCTATATCTTATTGGATGGGACTGAACATGGAAGCACCCGAAAAAACCTCCAAGTTTAAGATTTTAGAGAGAGAAACGAACCAAACCAAAACAGCCTGAAACACATAACTGCATCAATTCTAGAGAGAGAGAGAGAGAGAGAGAGAGAACCCTTGTTTCCTTTTCTTTCTCTACTCACTGTGTCTTTGTCTGTCTTTGTGCAATGTTCTCCGGTTCTGTTCATGACAGAGAGGACATCCTTATTGACCTCTCTGAATTCCCAGTTACATAAAGCCTTTTGTTTTTGTTTTTGTTTTTCTTGGCCAAGAAAGTGTGATAAAAGTCGAAAGAAGTTGTATTTATTGCCAAGTTATGAACTGGGTTGAGTTCTTTCGATTGGCTTGGCTCATGTTGTGTGGTTTTCTTGGTGGTGGTGGACTGTTGGTGATAGTTTGTATATATGGCTCCTGTGATGTATAGCAGCTTCAAATGGTACTACTTTTCTCTTTAACTTTTTATTTTATTGTATTTTACATACATGCATATGCACATAATGGTGTATAAAAAAGTTTATGTCTCATGGCGGGGTTGATGCATTTTTTATGTTCTTGAGGTGTCAAGAACTACGGTGTGGTTGTAAGTTGGTTCTTGTTATTTGATAAATAAAAGGGATTATTTGAATTGCTTTGGAAATTGGAATCCAATTCTTTTGTTGGGTTTTAATGGAGTTTCTTTATTCTTTGCTTTATAGTTTTATAATGTTGTGAATTTAACTATGATGCTGTTATTGATGGAGGTGATCCTCAGAATATGCAAAGAAATTTAAATTTGATTTAGGCAATTTGATTCTTTCTTCTGGATATATTCAGCATGGGCTAAAGTTTTCTATTCTTCTATGCTATTGCTCTATGTCATATATCTGTCTGTGTGTTTGTGAATTTATGAATGTTTCTCATGAAATTGAATTGGAGAGGTCTTTCTTCAGAATGGGGGTAGATTTTTATTTTTGGAATCAATCTATTTTTTTAAAAGGGTTTTTACTCATTGGATGTGATTCTTTGTCAATGAGAAAATATGGTTATAGCAGGCAGAGCAATCCATCCATCTTCCAATTTCGTTTGCTCTTTGCTTTCTCTCTTAAACATTTGTGCTCTGTTTTGGATTTTTCTTCTTTTACATTTTAACTAAACCATTTTAAATTCATTGAGAAAAGTTTACCTCTTCGTAACTTCTTCGATTTTCTTTACATAATATGATATCATTAATAGGTTTTGTTCTTGCAGGTTGCATGGAAATAATAAACTAGATGCAGAAGGGCTTCCTTTTGGCAAATAAAGATGGCAATGAGACAGTTCTCTTTAAGATATCATTAGCACTTGATCGAGTTTCTGTGAACCAAGTTAAGCTGCATGAAGCATGTCTGCTTGATCTGGTCTTATTCTATTTAGCTGAATACTTTTCATGAGGTTTTGGGAATTGGCACTGGACCAAGCCGGCAGAAAGTTTGGCTTCAAGCAGGGCTAACCTTCTTAGACAATATAAATTTGCTTCCCAAAAGAAACAAATTTTATTCTTTTTAAGAGCTGGTAGTAGTAAGATTAAGGTCTTTAGGGCAAATCTCCTTTGGCAAAGTTACTGAAGTTCCTCTCGCCTGGAAAGTCTCCCCTGAAAGTGAATAATCCAGGAGAGTTGATACTTCGGACAGCTGTAATTTATCATTATCCAGCAAGAATTCCCGTAAAGGGCAGATCTTCTTTGGCATTAAATTCTTTTTTCTCTGTTGAGCTCATTCCAATCTGCAACAGTTGTGGGTCATCACTTTATCGGTTGTGCAGTACAGTCTTCTTTGGAAGTTTCTTCTTGCAGAAGCTTCAGTCCATTTGTTGGGCAAATCTCCTTTGGCTTTTGGGGTCCTCGTTGACTCCTGTTATCCCTGTAAGACAAATCTCCTTCGGCATTAGGAAGTCCTTAGTTGGCTTCCTGTTATCCCTCTAGGGAAAATTTTCTGTGTTTGGAACATCATCTCTGCCTTTAAAGGTCAAGGTATCTTGTTGAGATATCTATATTGAACCTCAGAATCGATTGAGAGAAAGATAATTTGTTCAACTCATTCCACATTATTGGCACCTGTAGTTCCATCCTCTGGCACGCCACCATTTACTTATCTGCTGCCCGTGTGTTTATCGTAGCATTACAGTGGGGCTGCTCCTGGACAGTTGCTTGAAAAAGTGTTAATTGAAAGGTAATTCGCTCTTCTTCCTCGTTATTCAATCCTTTTTTAACATATTTGTTAAATTTGCATTTTCAGATTATTATTACCTTAAATTATTGTGTTGCTTTTGTCTCAGAACTGAAGTTTGGATATATTGTTGTGCAGGATGGATATGCTTCCTAGTGACTCCGATTGGGAAAGTTCCAGTGATAATGGTAGAAGCAGTGAGGACATGGAGGAACTTGACTTTCTGTATGGTGGAAGGGCAAGGACCCTTTTCTCTAGTCTGGAGGAAAGCATAGGGAAAATTGATGAGTTTCTCTCATTTGAGAGGGGCTTCATGCATGGGGACGTGGTTTGTTCTGTGACCAATCCATCTGGACAGACGGGCAGAGTTGTAAATGTTAACATGCTAGTCAACTTGGAAAATAGTCATGGAAAAATCACAAAAGAAGTTGATTCAATGAAGCTTTTGAAAATTCGATCCATTTCATTGGGAGATTATGTGGTTCATGGGCCATGGATAGGAAGAGTCGATAAAGTTATTGACATTGTCATTGTAGTATTTGATGACGGGACATCTTGTGAGGTCACTGCAGTGGATCAAGAAACTCTTTTGCCTATATCTCCCAACGTACTTGAAGATTCAACGTGTCCATATTATCCAGGACAGAGAGTGCAGATTAGGCTCTCAGCAGTGTCTAAATCAGCTAGATGGTTATGTGGAGCTTGGAAGGAAAATCAGGATGTAGGGACTGTTTCTGCTGTAAAATCAGGTTTAGTGTATGTCGATTGGCTTGCCTGTGCTCTTGTTGGTAGTGATTTGAGTTTGCCTTCTCCCCGACGTTTGCAGGATGCAAAGAAACTGACTTTGTTGTCATGCTTTTTGCATGAAAATTGGCAGCTTGGTGACTGGTGTACGCTTCCTTTGGAAGATTGTAATGGTGTGAAAGAGCAGATATTTTTTGATGCGACTGTCGTTGAGATCATTAAAAAGGACAGGAAGATGGACCTTGGGTTTAAGGGACAGAACCCTTCTTCAAATTTTCAGGATATATTTGTTATTGTGAAGACAAAAACTGTTGTTGACGTTGTGTGGCAGGATGGTACTTGCTCGCAAGGATTGGATTCACAGTCTCTGCTCCCTGTTAACATTATCAACGCTCATGATTTCTGGCCAGGGCAATTTGTACTAGAGAAAGGTGCTTGTGATGATCCACATGTTTCAGGCAACCAAAAATGGGGCTTTGTGAATTGTGTGGATGCAAAGGAACGGACTGTCAAGGTGAAATGGAAATCCATTGGAGTGAACCAGGCTAACAATGTAGGAGGTGACCAGATTGAGGAAACCGTTAGTGCTTATGAGCTAGTTGAACACCCTGACTACTCCTACTCCTATGGGGATATTGTATTTAAAAATTTGGACCAAGCTAATAAATACATTGTGAACAGAGAGACTGGGTTGGGTGAGGATGCTGGTCTTGAAGGCAGTGACCATGGTAAAGATCAGGTTGATTACTTGTCCTGCATCGGCTATGTGACAGGCTTCGAAGATGGAGGTGTTGAGGTGACATGGGCATCTAGTCTCAAAACCAAGGTGTGAGCTCTAGCCATTTTCATCCTTCACTTGAAATTATGTGATTATTATGTTCATTAATTTACAATTATCTAGTTTTAGTAGGCATTTGAGAGTCCATGATGAATGTGCATTGTCTTGGACATATGTAGATTGTGCAGTCCACTTCATTTCACTATTATCAGTTGTAAGTTATACTTTGTAACAAGGGGTGATAGTATGGAAGTTGCACTGAATCCAATGGCTAATTATGAATTTTTTTATTTTTTTATTTTGGAAAAACCCATAGTGTAAATGGCAATGTATGCTTAATTAGTTTGGTAATTATTATCTAAAACATATATATTTCCTAGTTTTTGTTTCTCGTTTCAGCTATTATTGCTCAAGCCCTGAACTTGCAATCGTAGCCTTGTAAAACCACCCGGCTGCCACTAGCCTTAGAGTTGTTTGGACTTTGCACTGCTGCTTATTACGGGAAATTGTCTTGTTCTATTAGATCACAGACCATGAGCTTAATTTTAGCAGAATCCTAGATGAGCCATAAAAATTGGGAAGGAGGTTGCTTAGGTTAGTTCACCCCACCCCACACCTAGTGATATTATGGTTTGACTAAAAAAATAAACGATTTGTCAAACACTTTGGGATGAAGGTCTAGTTCTGAGGTCAATATTTTGAGTTTCTTTTATATTTCTTTTTGACGTATAGAATTTGTTTTATATTTGTATTTGGAAGATTAGCAGGTACTGCATGCCTTTTGATTTTAGTTACCTGTATGTTCTTGACGTGATAATCTCAGTTTCATAAACCAGTTAGTATGCTGGTAACTTTTTGAATGTTGGCATAATTCATCCTTTGATTACTGTCTGTTTTTTTTTTTTTTTTTTTTTTTTTTTTTTTTTTTTTTTCCTGTGGAGACTGATTGAAGCATCAACCTTAAATACTATGTTGGGCGTTGTTACAGGTTCGACCTAATGAGATTGTTCGAATTGATAAATATGAAGTTTCAGCTGAAACAATGATGCGACATGAAGAACCTGAAGAGGAAGTGAATCAAGAGATGGTTGATCACGACAAACAATTTTCAACCCTGAAAGGAAAGGTAAATTCAACTCCCCTTCTCTCATTTCAAGAAAATAGAGTTGCTCTCCAATTTTGAGAGTTTTATGTGGGCGATGACATGCTGAAATGAAGAGTTTAATTTTCGAATTTACTATGAAATAAATAAGTAACTTGCATGTCTTGTCTGGAGTTATGAACTTCTGGAATAGCTTCTCCTAAATCCAGGATTCAATTTTGCAAGGTGTTTCAGCTGTTACAATATTGGTTAATGATCTGTTGAGTTTCAAAGTGTAGAGACAGACATCTAGGATTAATCTGCGAGTAGGGAATATACAGAATAAAAGGTGAACATATAACCTCCCCAAAAATATTCTGTACTACTTAAAACTCACCCATCAGGACCTGTTTGCTTAATGCCCATTTGATCGGTTAATAAACTGATGGGAAAACAAAGTAATAAAGAAAAGTAGGTTCTAAATATTTGACCGAACCTAAACTTGCTTTTTGTAACTCACAATCACTAAAAGTATCTTTTTGGGTTACCATATTTGGCAGACAATAAACAAAAACAGAATTCTGGTGAATTTCTTTAGTTTGGGTTAACTAATGTTCTGGTTATAAAGCTTCTTGTATCATCTGCATTTTCATCTCCTTTGAAAACTGGAACTGAAGAACAGTTACATTCCTAGGACTTGCTAAATCCCATTAGCATTGGCGATGAGAGCACTAAGTTCCCTTGGGAGTCTAGTTCCTTCTCCCTTCCTCAATCCATTCTTGGATTTTTCACAAGGATCACAGAAACAATATTCGGATCCTTTGGTTCCACATCTGTGTTTGGCCCAATAGCATCTGACCCTATTTCCGAAGATGGAAATCAATCCAAGACACCTGAAGAGAAAGAAAAGCTGGAAACTTGTGATTTGTGCATGGAGATTCAACCTTTAGTAGCTGGCGAAATGCTGAGATTTGATTGGAAAAATTTAAAGCCAGAAGTCAAAGATGTGAAGGATAGCAAAGAACATCAATCTTCATCTGCCAGCATGAGACCAGAACAGTTCAAGCAATTCGATATGGTTGTTGATTGCTCTGACCACCACTTTCTTGATGGTGCAGGAAATGGATTGGCATTGTCTCAGGTCAGAAACTTATTTCATTTTTTCTATAAACTCAGTAGTCAACTTGAATAAGCAATCATGATATGCTTTCTGTTTCTGCTTCACACAGGTGAAAAGAGGTTGGTTGAAGAAGGTTCAACAGGAATGGAGTATTCTAGAAAAGAATCTTCCTGGTTAGCTTTGTAGTTCACTTTTGATTTTTATTTTTTGAAGAGGTTCGTTGTTCAACTTATGCATCATTTCTAAGACCTTTGGCAACCTGAACAGAGTCAATCTATGTCCGCGTTTACGAGGATAGGATGGATCTCCTTCGAGCAGCCATTGTTGGTTCGAATGGAACTCCATATCATGATGGGCTTTTCTTTTTCGATATATTTCTTCCTCCAGAGTATCCTCATGAACCACCTGTAAGTTGCTTAATTTAAAGTTCTGAAGCTTTTGCACTCTAGAGCTGCTTGAGTAAATGGCTGCAAATTGGGGCAGTGCTAAAAGACTACATGGTCTTTATAAGTTCTTTTCCCTTTTACCAATGGGTTAATTTGACCATGCAGTTCCATTGTTCAAAGGGACATAAAAATTCTTTTAAATTAGGGTATCCAATTCAGAAGTCTGAATCTTTTTCCTTTAACTGTTCATCAACTTCTACGAATGAGGATAAATTCATTTTTTTACTAGAAACTTACCTTTAGCCGTTGTGCTCTCTCATGTAGTCGGTGCATTATCGTTCTGGTGGACTTCGCGTCAATCCGAATTTGTACGAGTCTGGAAAAATCTGTCTGAGTCTCCTCAACACATGGACAGGTTCAGGCACTGAAGTATGGAATCCCAAGTGCTCCAGTATTCTTCAAGTTCTTCTCTCGCTCCAGGCCCTAGTGCTTAATGAAAAACCCTACTTTAATGAGGCTGGGTATGATAAGCAGATAGGAAGAGCTGAGGGAGAGAGAAACTCTATAAGCTATAATGAAAATGCATTCCTTATGACCTGGAAATCCATGCTTTACCTAATTCGCCAACCACCAAAGGTAAAAGAAACAGTTCTTATATCAAAATTACTCCACTATTGCATTGATTTTGGTACTAACTATGATGATAATTGCCTTTGAACTAAAGTCAAAATATGATTAGAAAGTCAACTGCTTCTATGTTGACTGCTGCTTTTACTTTTGGATTAATCTAATATTAAGGGGTGCTTGGATCCCATCGATGAATTTGGCATAGTCCTTGTAACGAAACTGTCGTTTCTACATCACATGCTGGAGTTGTCACTTTTAAGAATCAATGTGTTTTCGAGTATTGTATTTCCTGATGATTGAGGATTGCATATTATATTTTTTTTTAAAAAAAAAAAAAAAAAAACTTCATTGTAAACAATTTATTTGAGATTTACAGGATTTTCGACTTCCCTATCCTGTTATTTCCTCAAACTTGTTTTCTTTTTTACCTTGCTAATTACTGTAGAAACACAATAAAGGATGCTGTTTATAATCAGGATTAATATTTGTGCATGTCAATATACTGTTACAGCACTTTGAGGTGCTCATGGAGGAGCACTTAAGGCAACGATCCCAGAATATTCTATCCGCTTGTAAATCATATCTGGATGGAGCTCCGGTGGCATACGCACTTGACTGTGGACAGACTGAACATGAAAATCAAAAGGGTGGTTCTACTTCTGCAGGGTTCAAAATCATGCTAGGAAAGCTCTTCCCAAAGCTTGTGGAGGCATTTTCTGGTAAAGGAATTGATTGCGCGCAGCCGATTCATTGAGCATGAGAAATGAATGTACGTGCATAACAAGGCATTCCTCCCATATTTATAATTCTGAATGATATCAACTTGTTTTTTGGTGATTTTCAGTCTTCAGTGTGATCTCATTGTGTGCTTGCTGTGTGAGAGCAAAAAAACAAATAAATAAAGGACAATAATATTTTTATTTTTATTTTTTTTAACTCTTGGTGTTGTAAATGTATTATTAATGAGCTTGTCAACTCTTAGCAATTTTCACAAAGAAAGAGGGAAGACTTGGATCTTGAATACTAGATTTGCCAATTCATCGCTCCTGCAAGGACTGTTTCCTGATTTGTGCAGCAGAGATATTGCCAATTCATCTTCTGCAGTCGCTTCTCAAGACCTAAAGGATGTTGTTTTTGCCATGAAGTTCTTGAAAGCATCGGGTCCCGATGGTTTCCAAGCTCTAATATATTTTATCAGGCTCAATGGGACATAATGGAAAACGCTTGTGATGATTTTGTTAAAGATGTTTTCGCAAGTAAAACTAATGTCATAGAAGTGAATCAAACGTACTTGGTCCGCATTCCCGAAGTGCCGAAACTAGAGTCGGTCACACTACTTTCCACCCAATCACTGTGGCGTACAGACACATAACTAAAGTTAAAATTGTGGAAAAAATTGAGCCTATTCTCAAATCTTGACTCAAGAGATTGTTCACTTTGAAGATTAAAATGGATAAACCGAAAGATAGAGAGATTCAACTAGGGACCCTGCATGATAATTTGTACCTAGCTGGTTTTGTAGGGAGCCTGATGAGAGTGATTATTACGCAATGTATTACAACATCTTCCTTGCAGCTCCTGTGGAATGGCGAGCTTATGAAAGCGTTTAAGCCTACTAAAGTTTGTAGTTTTAGGAAAATATTTAGGGGTCCTCCATTGCATAAAAGTGTTACCAAAATCAAACGTATGAAGTTGTTATCGATAAAGTTGCAGTAGCGTTTGGCCTCTTGAAAAGCTAACCAATTATCCCTAGTAGGCCATTTCACTATGTGATGCAAGAAAAAGGGGCAGAGGATATCAACAAAAGGTTGTTTAGATCTCAGCAGTTCTTTGAGATAGAACCCAGGAATGAGTTCGAAAAGGTACAGTATGATTCTTTTTTCTTGGAGGGCAAGGCCCTATATTGGCACCAAGCTTACACTCAAAGATTGGGAAGGAAGCTACCATGGGTTGAGTACCTCTCTGCCATAACAAGTAGATTTGGTGCAAAGCTGGATTCATTAGGCTAGCTTAAGAATCTCACACAAACCTCTGATTTGGAAACCTATATTTATAAATTTGAGGTCTTATGGAATAGGGCTGCTATTAATGAACATCAACCCTTGAGCCTTTTCCTAGCTGGACTAAGAGAGGACGTACAAGGTCCAATCTTCATGTTTGAGCCACAAACCCTAAACTGAGCCTATGACCTAGCTAAAAAGCAAGACACCACAAACACTGATCTTAAAAGACACCAAACAAAGACACTACCTCCTTACCAAAGCAGATTCCAACCTACTTACCATATGCCTAGCCAATCATACAAACCTACATACACCCAAACCAGTACCAGCACCATTGCATTTCCTTCACATAACCCGAGAACCAATACATACCTACAAAATGCCAAACCTCATCAGCCAAGAACCCTGACTAGTAAGGAATTTGAGGAGAAAAGAGCAAGAAACCAGTGTTGTTGGTGTGATGAGACCTATGCACCAGGATAGGTGTAAACAAAGAAGGCTCTACTCTATTCAAATAGATGATGATGAGGTAGGGGATCTGTAAGAGAGGGAGGGAAACCAAATTGTGTAAGAAGATTTAAGGGAGCTTAACCCCCATATATTTGTAAATGCCCTAGAATGGTGGAGTGGGTTCAGAACCTTCGAATGGTGGGACACAAGAACAACCACAAGCTACATATCTTGGTTGATTTAGGATCCACCCACAATTTTCTTAGTTTATTTACTGCCCATAAGCTAGGGTGTGGCCTCTCGCCTATCAAGCCTTTAGTTGTAGGAGTTGCTAATGGCAATATCATGTTATACACCTCCATTTGCAAAGGATTCCAATGGGTAATGCAGGATATACCATTCTGTACAGATGTGCTAGTTATGGACCTCTACAACAGTGACATGGTCCTAGAGGTACAATGGTTATCCAAACTTGGCAACATTGTGTCAAATTATGAAGAGATGTGGATGAGTTTCAAAATGGAGGAAGGGAAGTCAAGTTGGTGGGTTACCCTAATGCTAAGATGCAAACCATTTCCAATGCCCAAATGCAAAAACTCTTAGAACAGCCTACCCAAGTGGTACAAGCACACTTATGCAGCGTTGTACCACTGGAACTTGAGCAACACAAGGCAGAGCAAGAAGCAAGAGTAATTACCTATCTGCAGCAGCATGTTCACCCTTCATTACTGTCATTCTAGATGAGTTTGGACCAGTGTTTTTTGAGCCTTGAACGTTGCCACCAACCAGGTCACATGACCACAAGATCCCTTTAAACGATGGGGCATAGCCTCAAGTTTACAAAAAGATGTGTTAGAGCAAATGGTGGAAGAAATGCTTACCTCGGGCATTATCCAACATAGTGTGAGTCCCTTTGCTTCTCCGAGTGGTCCTAATCAAGAAGAAAGATAGGTCATGAAGGTTGTGTGTTGATTATAGAGCCTTAAACAACATTACCATCAAAGATAAGTTCCCCATCCCACTTATTGATGAATTGCTAAAAGAACTAAATGGAGCAACTATCTATTCAAAAATTGACCTAAGGTTTGGTTATCATCGGATTAGGATGTCCCCCTTAAACATACCTAAAAAAGCCTTTAAAATCGACAATGGTCATTATGAGTTCTTGGTGATGCCTTTTGGCCTTACTAATGCTCCAGCTATTTTTTAGAGCCTCATGAATGAGATATTCAAGCCTCTCCTAAGGAAGTTTGTATTGGTTTTCTTTGATGACATCCTAATCTACAACGAACACCTTGGAAGACCATATAACCCACTTAAGAGTAGTCTTAACACTATTACAGTAGCACAACTTATTTACTAAGCTCGATAAATATGTCTTTGGCGATGCTAAGATAGAGTACTTAGGGCACTAAATATCAACCAAATGTGTCTACATAGATCCTAAGAAGATACAAGTCGTGATTGATTGGCCGGTCCCCGGAAACTCGAAGCAATTATGAGGAATTTTAAGCTTAATAGGATACTACCGGAGGTTCATTAGAGGCTATGGAATTCTCGGTAAGTCACTAACGGACTTGTTACGAAATGATAGTTTTCTATGGAATGACAAGGCCACCGAGGCTTTCAACAACCTCAAAAAAGCTATGACCACTCCTCTAGTTCGGCCTTTCCGGACCTTGCTAAAGAATTCAACCATAGAGACCGATGCTTCAAACATAGGTATTAGGGCGGTCCTAACATAAGAAAGCCATCTTATTGCCTACATAAACAAGACCCTCTCCCCTAGACACCAAGCCCTTTCAGCTTATGAGAGGGAGCTACTTGCCATCCTACATGCTCGTTAAAAAATAGAGGCACTACTTAGACTCAAGGCATTTCAAAATCAAGATCGATCATCACAATCTAAAATACCTCTAGAGCATAAACTTTCCACTACCAGTCAATATAATTGACTAGCTAAGCTTTGGGGTTTGACTTCGAGATTTTATACAAGAAAGGCAAAGAGAATATGACTCGAAGATGCGTTATCTAGAGTACCATACATAGAAATCCTATCTATGGAAATTTCCACACTATCTTCCGACTTACCGCCCAGGTGCAACAATCATGAACCACTAACCCTAAAATTCAAACTCTACTAACGGAATTAAGAGAGAATTTAAAGCCTCATCCATACTACAAATGGCAAAATAATATTCTCATAAGGAAGGGTAAGTTAGTGGTGGGAAATGATACATAATTGAAAACTCATATCCTAGGCTTGTTCCACAATACTGCCCTAGGAGGACACTCGGGGATGACGGTTACATCAACGAAGTTAGGAGGTATTTTCTATTGGAAGGGACAGCGAGAAAGATATCGAGCGGTCCATCGAAGCTACCCAATTTGCCAAGCTAATAAACCCGAATTGGTGGCCACTCTGTGGTCGTTACAACCCTTGCCCATACCTTAAGGTGTTTTTACCGACATTTCTATGGATTTCGTAGAAGGGCTTCCAAGGTCCAAAGGAAAAACAACAATTTTTATGATGGTTGATCATCCGAGCAAGTATGCCTATTTTATGAGTCTCCCTAATCCCTACACTCGCTCGGACAATAGCACAGACTATTCCTAGATAAAGTTTTTAAACTTCATGGTCCGTCGGGATCAATTATCAATGACGGAGACCCTATTTTTTTAAATGCATTCGGAAGGAACTACTTTCCTTCGGGGAGTGTAACTACATTACTCTACCGCCTATCACCCACAATCCGATGGTTAGACCGAGGTGGTTAACAAGTGCCTAGAAACCTACCTATGATGTATGGCTAGTGACACTCCGACAGAGTGGTCAAGATGGTTACTCCTAGCTGAATGGTAGTACAACACCAACTTTCAACTCAGCTACAAAATTCACACCATTTGAGGTGATGTATAGAACTCTCCCCCCAATCCACCTATCTTATTTTTCAAAGGACTCAAACAATGCATCCGTTGATTCATATCTATCGATTAAGGAAGTAACTTTACAAAATTTAAAGCATAACCTATGTCGGACGCAAAATTGCATGGTGCAACAAGCTAACAAGAATCACACGGATCGCTAATTTTAAGTGGGAGATTGGGTCTTCTGAAGTTGCAACCCTACAAATAACATTCCGTTATTCGACGCTACTTTCACAAGTTGTCGACCAAATACTATGGCCCATTCAAGATGGAAGAAAAAAATAAGAAAAGTGGCTTACCATTTGTAATTACCGACGATCGGCCTCGATTCACCTTACGTTCCACGTATCTCTCCTCAAGAAATCAATTGGAACGTCGATGACGACCATACAACTCCCCGAGTTACACCTCAATCCTTCCCTCAACCATTGTAGTATTGAATCACGGAATCATCAAGAAGAACAATCAAGTCGTGGTCGAGTGGTTGATTCATTGGAGGGATCTCTCCCCACGAGAGGCCACGTGGGAGTTTGTAGACGACATTTGCCAACGTTTCCCATCCTTCTCCCTTACGGACAAGGGAGATTTACAAGAAAGGGTATTGATGCAAGAAAAAGGGACAGAGAACGAAGAGAATGAATAAGAGAATGAACCCTAAATTCATTAGGGATTTCAATTAGGATTTTTGAAAAGAGGATGTGGGCGTAAGGCTGAGTTGACGAATTGGATTAGAGTGATGGGCTTAAGCCGTAAGGGATGAGCTTAAGTTCACAAGTCTGGACTAAATAAACTAGTTATGTTTCTTCTTTAATTAATCGTTATGGACTTAAGCCTACTTATGGGCCTTAAGCCCGATTAGAATTAAAATGCCCCATGTAGCCACGAGCTAGCATAACAAACCATTCCCTATTGTTTGTTATTGTTTCGATCATAACTGCAAGTATAAGAGAAAAGGAATAATATGAAAAATAGTATAATAGAATTCAATAATTTTCCTTTTCTTCTCCCTCGAATCTTTTATTTTTCTCTCTTCTCTTCTCCTCTCTTCCCAAAATCTTCTCGCCCATTACTAGACTTGTATCACTCTGTAATTCTATTTTAACTTTTGAGAATAGTTCTTGTCATAATCGGATTAATGGTGGAGATAATTTTTTTGTAAAGCAAAACACACATTGTTTAAATTAAAAAAAAAGGTAAAGAAAGAAAGAAAGAAAGTAGGGAAATCAAGT